TTAAAATCAAGCAGTACAATTTGAAAGTATTCCTGCGGCACTCAAAAAATAAAAGTTCATCAAAATAGTTGAAGTCATCCGACGAGTGGAATTTAAAGATGACGTACTTTTTATACCCTTGCAGAGGGTATTATAATTTTGTCGTGAAATGTGTAACGCATAGAAGGAGTCATCTCCGACCCATAAAGTATGTATATTCTTGATCAGTATCAATAGCTGAGTCGATATAGCCATGTCCGTCTGTCCGTCTGTCTGTTTCAATGCGAACTAGTCTCTCAGTTTTAAAGCTATCTTTATGAAACTTTGCAGAAGTCCCTCTTTCTGTTGCACGCAGTTCATATGTCAAAACAAGCTGGATCGGACCACTATATCAAATAGCTGCCATAGGAACGATCGGTCGAAAAGTAGGTTCTTGTATGAAAAACATTTTTGTTTATGAAGATATCTTGTTCAAACTCGGCATTTATCAGTTTTACTATGCTCCTCATATATATGTAAAATAAAAATAAGATCGTACTACTATATCATATAGCTGCCATAAGAACGGTCGGTCGAAAATTAAGTTGTTGTATGGAAAATTTGATTGTTTTTTACGATGTCTTGACCAAACTCGGTATTTATTTGTTTTACTATGCTCCTCATATATATGCAAAATCCTATTAAGATCAGCCCACTATATCATATAGCTACCATAGGAACGATCGGTCGAAACTAAGTTATTGTATGGACAACTTTTTTGTTTTTCATGATATCTTGGCCAAAGTCTGCATTTATTTGTTTTACTATGCTCCTCAAATATCTGCGAAATCCTATTTAGATCGGCCCACTATATCATATAGCTGATAGAGGAAAGATCGGTCGAAAATTAAGTTGTATGGAAAATTTGTTTGTTTTTCAAAATCGGCATTTATTTGTTTTACCATGCTCCTCATATATATGCAAAATCCTATTAAGATGAGCCCACTATATCATATAGCTGCCATAGGAACGATCGGTCGAAATTAAGTTATTGTATGGAAAACTTTTTGTTTTTCACGATATCTTGACCAAACTCGGCATTTATTTGTTTTACTATGCTCCTCAAATATATGCAAAATCCTATTAAGATCGGACCACTATATCATATAGCTGATAAAGGAAAGATCGGTCGAAAATTAAGTTGTTGTATGGAAAATTTGTTAGTTTTTCACGATATCTTGACCAAAATTGGCATTTATTTGATTTACTATGCTCCTCAAATATATGCAAAATCCTATTAAGATCGGACCACTATATCATATAGCTGCCATAGGAACGATCGGTCGAAACTAAGTTGTTGAAAGGAAAACATTTTTGTTTTTCAAGACATTTTAACCATACTCGGCATTAACTATTTTGCCTGTGCTTCTTAAAGACGGGCAAAACACTATGATCATTATGAAAAGGTTGGGTCTGCAAGGGTATTAAATCTTCGGCGTGCCGAAGATAGCCCTTACTTCTCGTTTATTTTTGTTTTAACATTATACATTTTTATTTTTTCTTCCATATCTTCCAAATTCGTCCCCCTCAAAATAATCCCCCCAGCTGCAATACACTTATGCCAACGTCCTTAGGTATAGCCTTCAATGCGCTTAGCAATTCACATTTGATCTCTTCAATCGACTCTAAACGATTTCCCCGAAGTGGTCTCTTGAGCTTTGGGAACAGCCAGAAGTCACACGGTACTAAATCAGGCGAAAACGGTGGTTGTGGAGCGACATGAGCGGAGTTTTTGGCAAAAAACTCAGGAAGAAGTGCTGTGTGCGACGGTGCATTATCGTGGTGCAAAATCAAAGCGTTGTCTTTTCATAATTCTGTCCTTTTCTTGCGGATAGCTTCACGCAAAACGACGCATAACACTTAAATAATATTCCTTGTTGACAGTTTGGTGTGTGGAAAGGAATTCGTAATGCACCACACCACGATTATCGAAGAAAACTGTCAACATGACCTTGATTTTCGAGCGACTTTGGCGTGAATTTTTCGGTCTCGGTTCACCTATGGCACGATATTCGCTCGATTGATAGGCATAAATCCAAGTCTCATGGCCCGTAATAATTTATTTGTAGACGTCCTGAAAGTCAGAAATCATTGATTTACATGCTTGAACGCGACACCAAACGCGATTTGACCCTTCTCAGGCACAAATGATCCTTCAAAATTGCTTGCACTGATCCAATTGATTTTGCAAGCATGTCGGCAAGGTCTCGAATTGTTAATCGACGATTTTATCCATCAATTGACGTCGGTGTTCGTCCAGAGCGTTCCAAGACATCAACACGTTCTCTGCCTTCTTTGAAGTCTTTGTACCACTTGTAAACATTTTTCTGTGACATATTCTCGTCACCAGAAGCCTTTTGTTACATTCGATACGTTTTAGAGGCAGAGCGTTCCAAAACATCAACACGTTCTCTGCCTTCTTTGAAGTCTTTGTACCACTTGTAAACTTTTTTCTGTGACATAGTCTCGTCACCAGAAGCCTTTTGTAACATTCGATACGTTTTAGAGGCGGAAATTTTATTCCGCAAGCAAAATTGAATAGCCCTTCTTTGCTCACCAAAAATTCGACATCGTAAAAATCGCCAAATTCACTTTTCTCTGTTCACAAAACCAAGCGTAATCCAAGAACTAATGATGATATTAACATGTAATTTGTCACATATGTTACTAACAGTTCTACCCACTTGAAAAAAGTGCATTTGTACGATTCGGTTAATGCGGGAAGTTTAAATTAAAAAATTCACCTGCGTCGCAATCAATTTATACATAAGTATAATGGATCTTGGTGCTCTTTTTCGTTGTTGCGAGTAGAATGACGACTTGTAAATGCTCCCCTTTCGTATGATGCCACGCTACTTCTTAATAAAAGCTCGCAATTCGCTAGAATTGTCATGCTGGTCCAAGAGCACTCGTTAGTCTTCTTCGTGAGCGACAGTGGCTAATTAACGCTCAAGAGGTTTGTCGTCAGATAGTGAGATAAGGCATCCGTTGCTTGGAATGCAAGCCTCGTCTGCTAACACAAATGATGGAAAATTTACCAGCATATCCACTCCGAGCGCTCCGCTCATATTCTATCCGTGGCGTCGATTTTTGTGGCCCAATTAGCAAGACCTTTTGAATGCGTGAAAAGCCTACGTAAAAGTCGTGCCTAGCATTATTTGTTTGCTTCGCCTCCATAACGATTCACACTGAGGATCCCGCAAACCGCCCATTGCGACAACGCAATGAATTTCGTCTAGGCAAATCACCAGTTTCATGAGTTGCGAGCTCGAATAGAGGAAGGCGCGGACGTTACTCGTTAATGCTCATTAAAAAGCGGATGCAAAGTTAAGTTCATACAGCCAAGAGCTCCGTATTTCGGAGGTCTTTGGGAGGCAGGTATGAAGTCTGCAAGGCGCAGAATGATAGGCAGCCTGTTGTTAACGGCAGAAGGATTCCAGACGACGCCTTCGTGGAAGACCTGGTGGCCGAGGACAAGCTGCGGCCCCAGCATTGGCTGATCGGCAGAGTGACGGCAGTGCACGAAGGAGAGGACGGCGTCCTTCGAGTCGCAGAAATTACAACGGCCAATGGTGGACAATTTCATTGCCCTATCCACAAGTTGACATTGCTGCCAGTTTAATGAAGCCCACAAGCGCTTCACGATGGTCGATCATGTGCGTCATCTGCGCTTTCAATAATATAATTTGAATAAATTTGAAGTGTAATGTAACTTAGGTTTAGGACGAAACGCCTCGCTTTGCCACCGTAGCTAAATCTAGCCTTAAGAGTGCATTGTCACTTAGTTGTCCAAATTAAATGAAACTTTGATTTTAAAAGCCACCAAATATGTTGGTTTAAATTTATATAAACACATATAATTTTTTTTTTAAATGGCCCTCTGAAATCTATAGTAACCTGGCATTGACGCCTTTCTGTCCTAATTTGAAGGTAACCTTTTAAATCTTAACTGTTCTTAATGAAAGCTAATGATTTTCTCTTTCCAAATGTTTTCTTATGCACTTAACAGTTTACCGCTCGAAAGTGCCAATACAGTACCGGTAATGAAACTAATGACCTGGGTGTCATTCTTGATAACAAACGTAACCTCGACTTTCATGTTACGACCGTGGTCAATAAGGCCAGGGCTGTTTTAACAGGCGATGGTCCAACAAGTGAGACGACAAATACCATCTTTATATCTCTTGTCCGTCCTATTCTTCAGCTACGCTCACGTATCTTGTCAACAGAATTCCCTTTTTTTGCCCTTCGTGAGTTAAACTTAATCATGATATTCGGTCATCATCAGCCATCATATTCCAAAATACTCCTTTGATCAATATTCCCTTATTAAAAAATGATATTATGCTTTGTGTGATATTTATGCATAAATTATTCACGTGCGAAATTGACTCAACTGGGTTCACAGCCTTTCTATCACATCCGCTTTATGCTTGTGCCTTAGGAGTAGGAATAGATAATATTAATATTAATAGTATTAGTACTTTGCTTACTCAATAAAACAAAAATGTATTTAAATATTATTATCTACTTATTAGATTTTCAAAAGCATTGGGTCGAATCGGGTTTTAATTATTTATTAAAGTAAAATATATCTTACTTAATTATTTTAATTATAACAATATTTGACTGCTTTTAAATAAAATTAAAGTTTACATTTCAGTCTCTGTTTAAGTACCCTGAAATTTGTGAAACTGGGAAAGAAAAGTAAATTAATTTTGTGCAAATGCATGTAACAGAAAGATGTCGGGAACTACAGAAGCTAGAGCTTTAAAAGTTACAAAAAAAATATACTCTTTTAAATTTGTATAGAAGGTAGTTCGAATTAGTATCGGCAGCTCGGCGCTATCTCCTTATCTGGCTAAATATTGCTGGTTTCTTAGCAAATACTCCTATAAAAAAGTTAAAACAAGTTTTAATATATGAAATATGTATATGAATATTAATATATGCCGCTTAGTGAACAAAGTCGTTTAATAACAAAAAAAAAGAATAGTCTCACGTCCAATGTACGTGTACTTAAAACCATTACTGAATATGATATTTGTTTCCATACTAGTTATAAATTATATATTACGTTATAGGTTAGCTTACAAAAATATATACAGTTCACTTTATAAGGCTATCGATATATAGACGTTAATCATATATATTTATAGTCAGATAAGTCCAGGTGACAGCCTGTGAAAAAAATCCGAAGCATGGGAGGCATATATTAAAATACAATAGCAAAAGCGTATAAATAATTTTCAAAATTTTATTTCATGTAAATCCTTTTGCGCATGTGCCTGCAGTTTACAAGTTTGAGCGATCTTGGGCAAAACGGACATTAACGGACGCTTCTGATGATGCTGATCACTTTGGGGATATGGGCCATTATAATATGCATTAAATGGTTGCTGTTTGTCAATGCCGAGAAAATATGGTTTTATTTCATGGTTTTGGTCACTATATAAGACTTCCATTTGTATCATGCACTGATGCAGTTGTTCCTATAAATTAAAGAAAAGTAAAGTCATTAAAAGAATTTGTTGCTACTTTGCTATTGTTAACCAAACCTGTCCCACACTTGTTAAATCCGTGAAAAAGCTGAAGAATATGTGTATGTTATCACCCGTACAAAGATGGCATTTAAGTCGATTCATTGCTGCGACAATACTTGATGCCGCTATTGTGCTTGCAGTATACTTGGAAAATGTATATTCTGTGAATTGTACAAGGAATTGGTTAGGAATTGGATGGCGTATTTGTATACCCTTGGATAAAAAAGTAAGATAATGTGTAGAAAAAGGAATATCATATACATTTATTCTTGGCCAATACCGAGCCGTTCTAACCATTCCAGTCTGTCTGTAGGTCCGTATATATGAATACATCGATCTCATAGACTATAAGAGCTGGAGACTTAACATTACAAACTTAGGTTCGCCTATAGCCAGTGCTGATCGTGATTATTTTAAAGGATCGATAAATTGCCACGTTTCCATAAAATTGATTAAACATGGTGTTAAAGTTCTCGTATAGAGTATACAGATAGGTATATTAAAATTTGTTTATTTCAAACTCATTTTCGAAGCTACAGCCTTACGCTTTTTTATTCAAAAATCGAGCAATGCGATCCTGCTAAAACTTTAAGGGCGCTGCCAACGCGAAAATGAGACAGTGCCACTGACTGGAATAAGGGCAGAATTAAGGTGAAGCGTTCAACTAACGCTTCAGCGCTCGTAAGACCACTTTTGATAGACTTTGCTGGACTATATGGAAAATGACTCTACAAGTTACTAATAGCTCAGGGAGAGTTAATATTCGCAATGATAATCTGGCAAAAAAAAAAAAACCTAGATATATTTTTAATTTTCAGTGTTGGCGACAACACTCCTGTATGCCTCAAGTTAAATCAGTAGACATTTGGGCTCAGCTTCAGCTTTGTGCCCCACGACTAACAGTGAGGAGCAACATTTTCCTACCGGAGAAATCCTAGAAGAATGGCTAGTGTCTACCGCTTGTGTTTGTCTTATACCCAAGGCAGACGGCAAGGCCACTCACACATCGCTAAAAATAATGTTCTCCAATTCTCAGCGATAAGGAGAACATTGGCATACCAACAGCCAGTCAGCCACAAATCAAAAAAAAAATCAAGCCTGCGGTTGCATACGCTGCCAGCCACAGATAAAGGTAGGATCGCACGACAAGCCTATCTGAATCTCTGTCGAAATCTTCACCATTCACACCATAAAAATTAAATAAATAGAAATCCCAATTAAAAGTACAGCAACAATGTAAAGGCTCTTGTTTTTTGCAAATATACGAGTATTCTATGGTACATTAAAATCTACTCCAGATTTCTCCAAGATTGGTTCAGAAACACATCAGATGTTAAAGAGAACGTGCGGCCATATTTACCGTATACTCGTGCGCACATATATTAATATGCTGGTATTCTTTTATCAAAAAAATTGCATTTTTGAGACATGAGATTATATTTTTGGTTATAACGACCGCGAAGTTCTTCATACGTGTTAATTTATGTCTGAATACATATTCAAAGTAAATCATCCAAATGCAAATGTATAAAAAATATCAGTTGATGTTACAATCAGCTGAACGCTTTGGAAACGTATAAAAAGAGTAAAAGGACATTCTATGGCACTAGTTTTCTTTCCCGATAGCTTATCCCGGAGTACGTGCTTGTTTCTATTTGGGCAGATGCTTTTATTTTTTTATAATTGCTGATTTTCCTATTTATTTACCAGCTCTCATGTTACCTTAAACTGCATTATAATACCTTAACATTTTTATAATTGAAAAAGTCAATATAAGCCTCAAAGATGGAGTTTTTGGTTTTATAGAATACATTCTTTCGGCCTAAGCTTAATAGCAAGAATAGATGTTGAACTTGTTAAAAAATATGCGGAAATAATTAAAATAATCGAATATTTATCGTGTCGCTTACATCTCCAGTGTATCACATTTGCAACACTTTTTGTATTCGAGAGTATAGGTCTAGCAGCCTTGTAAGAAGTTTTTGAGAGTTGTTGTTGCAAGGTCATACAAACTCCGTTGTATACGAAACAATTTGATTTTTTTTATTGATTCCGAATATATTCAAAACATGATGAGATTTTTAGCTGTATCGCATTTGACAGTTAAGAACCAAATTGAACCAAGAAAAAGTTATTTTTATTTGAGATTTATAGCAAATATATGGGAGCTTAGAAAACTTACCCACGATGGACCAAATAAAATATAAAAGTAATCAATCTATTTTAACGACATCATACCCTTCAGCTTTCGTTTTCATTAATATAATATTAATATAATACAATTAGCCGATTTGACTTTAAACATAAGACATCCTGCCAAATAGTTTCTTTATTGACACATGAATACTTTGCTTAAGCAATTCGATAATATTCTTTGATGCTGTCGTATTTTTGGGTTGAATTTGACCACTAACCATACAATGCATAGACTTGTCAAATGTCAAAATAATCGGATACCGATAAATCGTCAACGACTGAGCCCCATGGGTGACCGCGACCATTTTAGTGTGCCCAGACAAAGTAATGAGCCGATCAAGGGTTTGTCGTGAGACAGAGATATTTTCATCAATGGGTGCGTAAATTTGGGCGACGGTGGGCTTGCGGCCGCGTAAGGCACACATGTGTGAACAGGCAACGAAAACAGGTGAACCGCACTTGCCGCTCGTTTGCACTTTGATATGGAAAAAATGCAAGTGATCTTTTTATTTATTTTTTGACATAGTAAACATTTTGGGTTAAAGGGTGTTATGGCAGGCAATAAACGATCAGAATGTCCAGCATGCGTCTGCATCCATTTGTCCATTTGTTCACACATTTGTGCCTTACGCAAGCCGCAAGCCCACCGTCGCCCAAATTTACGCACCCATTGATGAAAATATCTCTGTCTCACGACAAACCCTTGATCGGCTCATTCGCACACATTTTTGTGTGTGTGTGTGTCTGTGTGTAGAGCTCGAAATTTAGAAATGCCAAAAACTTCAAATTTGGTCAAATTTGCATCGGGCAGGCAGGCAGGCAACCAACACGCACACAAACGCATAAATGCTTCCATCCATATAGAAAAGTGTGTAAGTATGTGTGCTTGGCAGGCCCAAAAAGTTATTATGCACACATGCCAACGTTCAGGTACCCTTACCCTTACACCATGCATGGAAAATAGGAGATTTGCACATGAACAGGCCAAACCCTTTAATAATGTCACACAACTGCTTACTCGAAAGAGTGTGCGTGTGCACAAGTAGCAAGTCGAAAAAATTGAACATTTTCAATGTTTGGTCTTTTCTTAAATTATTCGACAAGCCGACGAAGCATTACCCTTGCAGAAAAACGACTTATTTTTTTTTTAATTTCAAGCAAAATTGGTCCCCACAGTTAACAAAAAAATTAAAATATAATATATAAATATATCATTTAGGTCATTTAAGTTTTTAATGAATATAAATATATCAGATTCTTCTCATTATGCCTGACTGGACGAAGAAATACATGATAGAGCATTTGAATGTGTGTGCCTTTTGCCACCACAGGCACAAAGGGCACACAATTGAAGAAAAAATCTCTGGCTCGCGACAAACGCCGCGATCTACTTGTGAGCACACCCACACAACACAAACATATGTATGTATGTTTGTAGATCTCGGGGTTTTTGAGAAGCTATGCAGGGAGAAGGAGATGCACACAAGTGCGCAAAGCAATAAGTGTGAGCGAGGGGCACTCTGCACACGCATATACACATATGTATGTATTTGGGCTGAAAAGATACATATATTACAAAACAGCATCAGCCGCAGCAACGTTGTGCGCTGAGCGGGATGCGGCTTCATACTGAACGTTCGGCTGTCGAGGCCGGCGTTCGGCTGCCACTCTCAGCAGTCTTACTTTGTCTGGGCACACTAAAATGGTCGCGGTCACCCATGGGGCTCAGTCGTTGACGATTTATCGGTATCCGATTATTTTGACATTTGACAAGTCTATGCATTGTATGGTTAGTGATTTGACTTTAGTTATGTTGATCGTTTTAGGCGTTCCTCATCGCTTCCTTATCGGGCAATATGCCTTTTCAGAATAGTGCCATGATCACCCTAATAAAACTTATACAAGTATAATTCAAAATATAATACTCAAAACATCAACATCATTCTTAAATCAATTTATCTAGTAAATATTTATGTACTCACATACATATGTGTTTATTTATATAAAAATTATTACTGGGAGCGAATCTATCTATAAAAGTGCCGTCTGTGCAGGCCCACAGCTGCTCTAATACAATCCTGAATTTATTACCAATCGACCTTCACAAGTTTTTGCATTGCGGCTGAGAGCACATTAAGTTTAGCAGACTGCATTTAGAAATAAATGAGCAAAGGACATTACCTAACACAACACAGGGACGGACAGTGAAAAAGACCTCAGTCGGCTGAATAACCGCAGTACTAACAGGTCACTTGCCGATAGGCACGTACGCCAAAAAGCTGGATACCCTTCACAATACAAAATTCAGAAGTTGCGAGATGAAGCAAGAAAAGGAAACGCCGGAGCATTTACTATATCACTGACCAGTCCTAAATAACAAAAAGATGAAAACATATAAGCTTGAACATATCAGCTTAGAATCACTAAAAATCAGGACGCTCACGCTGAGAGCCAGCCTTTTTTGGAAAAATGGTTGAAATGGGCAACTACTATCACTGGAGGATGCTAATGGATTAAAATGGAGTCTACCTCTAGTTGGGCGACCCAGAAAGGACCTAGGTCTCAGTAACAATTTTCAAACAAATACTTTTTATTTTTTGGTATCCCGTTTATTTACAATTAAATTAAATTAATTAAAATAGTATAATAAGTATAATCAATTGTATTGATTAGGTTGTTGTTGGAGGATGCATAGGGATTACGTAGCGTGGATTGCCTACGGAACGGCCGTAAAGCGTTGCTTCCCAGACATGTTCTTGCTACCTAATCTTCCTCCGATCTTTGTCTATTGCGCTCAAGTCTCCTGAGTTTCACCATTGCTGCTGCTGCAAAGGTGCTGGTTGCGTCCCACTTCTATGCAGTCTCCAGCATGCTCACGACCAGGCTGTCCACCGTGATAGTTCTGCCCATGCTGTCCTCCAGTTCCTGTCTATCCGCTGTAAAAAGTACACACTCAAAGATGATAAGATGGGCGTCATCTACGATACCTCGAACGCACCAAGAGCACTCGTCTATGTCGTCGTGACCGAATCGCCTCAAGTAGCCCCGGAAACATCCAGAGCCAGATAAGTTTCACCATACTTGCGCTTTATCCAGGCTGCAAGTTTGGGATAAGCCTATGCGTCCAGCGCCCTTTTGGTGACCGATCCCATCGTGCCTGCCATCGTGCTCTGCTCTGCATCCTTACTGTTGTACGAACCGAATATGCTGTCTCTGTGCTGTTTCACAAGTACCGCATCGCCTGATACCGTCCGGAAGGCGCAGTTGATCCGCAGAGCGCTTAGGCTATGACGCGATATGTCGCGTTTACGCTTCGGCTGTAGCTAGAAACAGCCATTGTTCTGCTCCAGATGGGGGATGCGTAAATTATTACCGCTCTGTTTGCGGTTAGGAGAAGACGTCGCAGCTGTTTCAGTCCACGTGTGTTCAGCATAATCCTGGATGGCGCTCCACAAGACTTTGCTGCCTTTTTGTGCACATATTCCAAGTGCTCTCTGAACGACATTCTTGTGTCCAGCATGACGCCTAGGTACTTTAGCGCCCTCGCTGATTCTATTACAGCGCTGCCGACTCTTATGTGCGCTGTTTCCAACTTTTTTCGGCTGCTGACTAGCATAGCCTCTGTTTTTTGAGAAGCCAGCTTCAGTCCAGCTGATGCCAGACATTGGAGTACACCCTCAATGCTGTGGTTGCACGATTCCCATGCGTTCTTCAGTTCCTTGCCGACGACTCAAAGGGCCGCATCGTCCGCGAAGCCGATGATGCTTGTATCGATCGGAAGTTTCAGTCGGAGGAGGCCGTCAAATATGATGTTCCAGAGGAGGGGTCCTAGAACTGAGCCACCAGCCCAAGGATCATATTCGGCTGAGTCACATAGTTCCAGGAAGTATTTTCGATTGCTTTCGTATCGCCTTCTATAGTAGTCTTCTGCCCGTTTGATACCCTAGTTGCTCTTCGGGCTCGGGCTCGCTGCTATCTCCTTCTGGCTTGGAAGCAGTCCCGCCGTGTTTCGGCAATATTCTCATTCCACCAGTACGTAAGTACATGATGGCGTCGAAACCTTTTCCGGGCTTTCATGCTTTTGACGCAAGCAAGCGATATTTGATTTCCCATTTGGAAGGCTTGTTGGAGCCGACACAGACCAAAGAAAATAAATTCAGCGATAAAAAAGTGTAACGTATTAAATGTCGTTGCGCGCGACGTTCACTCTAAATTCTTTACCGA